TAGAAATAAATAACACTAATTAAAAAGAAAAAACTTGCATCAAAACTTTGAGAAATAAAAAGAATAAAAGAATTTATATAATATGTTTATAAAAAATATTTATAAACACATGAATAAATATAAAATAATTATTAATATATATATAGGTAGATCGCTTTTAATTTGTAAAACAACAAATGAATAAATAGTGGTTGTAGAAAATTTATTAAGTCTATTCATTCTAATAAATTGTTTAGTTTAAATATTATATATATATATATTTGTTCAAATTTTCAAGTTTCTTTGATTCATTCAATCATCATTTGATTTCTAACAAACTATTTTGTTATCTTCTATATTTGTAGCCATAAATTACAATTTCTTTATAATTTCATTATTCAAAGTACTCATCGATCATCCTTATTTACTTGATATAATCATTAAAAATCAATAAATTTTTATGTTCTAATATTTTTATTTTAAAAACAATAAAACATTTTATGGAATTTAAATAAATCAAATATTGAAAAATGAAAAAATATTTATTGCTTTAGTTGACTTCTAAGAAAAAAGTTTACAAATATTTAAAAATAAATTTACTCATTAAATTTATCATTTAAAAATTCAACTTCTCTTTTAAACTTTTTTTGAATGTTTGATTTGAGATAATTTTTTTTCTTTACTTTATGATCACCTAATTAAAAACATAATACTGTTTGTTCTACAATAATGACTCATTTTATTTTGATTATTTATGCTAGATTTTCTATAAATTAAAACTAAATTGCAAACTATTAATTAATAATTAAATAAAATCCTTTAAAATAAAATATACTTCAAGCTCATGGATATTTTTAAATTAATTAGTGCATTTAATTAGTTCGTTAGTTAGTTAGTTAAATTTAGTTAGTTAATTAATTAAATTTTATAGTCCTTGTTTACTAATTTTATAAAGCTAAAATTGACTACTATAAATAAGTACTGCATTTATTGTAAATATAGAAATTTATATTATTTTTAAATGAAATTCTAAAGTATTTAATATTTTAAAAATGTCAGTTATTATTTTAGGATATTTATTAACATTTTGATAATGAAGATAGATAGATCCTCAATAAATCAAATTGATATCACTAAAATAACTAGAATTTTTAATAAAATAAATATTTAAAATTTCTGATGATAGATTTTAAAAGACAGACGAAATAAGCTAAATAAATTAATTAGAAGGTAAAAAACTTGAAAAATATCTTTGAAATTTTATAAGAATAAATTTGAATTAATAATCCAATAAAATAAAAAATTTGAATTTGATGAATAGAAAGAAAAAAAAGCATTAAAAAATATAGATTGATAGATAGATAGATAACAGTATATAAAAATATGGATAAACATATTAAAAATAAATAGTAAAATATAGATAGATGTGATATTTGGTTGTATAAATTAACAAATATATTTATTTAAATAAGCTATTAAGATGAATGAATGTTATTGTTTATTCAAATGTTAAAGACTTTCATTCTATCCTTATTGGATTTCTGACAAAATATTGTATTATTCTTTAAATTCTTAGTGATACATTTCGATTTCTTTCCATTATTCTAGAAATTAATTATACTTTATATTCTTCATAGATTTTGTAAAAAACAAACTGGTAATGTTTAATGTACTAATCTTTTTATTTTAAGCACTTTCTAC